GTTTATGTATGTCATATAGAGGCATCAGTGTTGAATTGAGACTGTTTCATAACCAGTTAAAAACTCCTTGCAGTAGGTTCAAGTAAAAATAGAAATACTACAGTGTAACATATACTCCATTACCCTAAGTCCTTGATTCAGTTCATAACAATAACAGTACAGAACAACTGATGAACTGTGCAATTTAGCCCCAACAGTGAACATAATAACTGCAGAAAGTCTGTGTCAAACAGGCAATTTAGATACATTTTGAGCAGATTATTTCCTGTGAGCATCAGTGATGAGTTTTCCTGATATGTTTAGGGAACTCTTTATAGAGTTCTCTGTCTATTACACATATTTGTTATTCTTTTAACAATCATACATACTTAATAGGCTTCTTTTTTTTTGACAATTTAAGTGTTTTCTTCTCTCTGTTCTCTTTGCTCCAAGGTTGTTTTAACTGCGTACTGTTTTAATGCATGATGAGGTTTATCAGAGAGTGAAGACTGTGAATATAACTTGTGTTTATGTCTTCAATAGAAATTAATAAAATGCTGAAACATAAGCCTACTGTGTAGTTGGGAACCAATGCTTTCAGTCAGTATTAGAAGTAGAAGACTAAGCACACTATAACGTAGTTTATGATAATAGAACTGTATAGGTATTTTAAATTAAAAAAGATGGCGACTTGCAGAGCATTATATGATATATAATGAACAGCTGGCAAACCTAAAAGCACCAGATAAAGTCAAGTTCTAATAATGTGGTTTAAACAATAATATAAAAATGTACTTCTTACAGCTGACAGCTCACATGGAAGTACAACTCATTAGACAGTTTGCTGATTAAAACGTGAAGAACTCTAACAGCTGACACAAATTAAAGTCACTGCTGATTTGACCATATCATGGAGAAAATTAAAGTAATTTAGAAAATGTAAAGACTAAAAAATTGATTGGCTGACTTCAAAATGCAATTTTACAACAAAGACACCCACACACACACACACACTCGCGCTGGCACACAGCAGTACATAGAGGAAGACTCACAGCATTCATCGTTGACGACACACTTCTCCGTCTCCTCAGTGTTTAGCTGGCAGAGCGAGCCGTCCTCAGGATACTGTTTGACATATCGCTCTCTAGACCTCATCCCCATCCCACAGGACACACTGCAGGCCGACCAGCTGATCCACTCCGACATCATGCATGTCGATGGCTCTGTCCACCAGGAGAACAAAGTACAAGAAAAAGGTCTATTAGGCAGCAGGTACTATTGGAAGAACATCTTGACATTTAGTTTTGCATTTCTCCTTGTTAGGCTATTATTGGGAAAAGTTCTGCTGTTTTAAAAATGGCTTGTTTGCACTGTCATAACTTGCAGGTGCAGTTGCCTTGTTGCCATTCCTCATTGCAACCACTACATAAGTAGGTCCACTTTTTGAGTTGACCATTTATTTTAATGAGGAATATAAACAAGGTAGTTTTGGCCAAATAATTTTGGCTGCCACTGCAAAAAGTTCTGTTAGGCGCACAGTGAAATAAAATAACACACTCTACATATTCCAGTGTTCCCAATAGTATATATAGTAATAGTAATATAATTAAAGAGGTGTTGCCCCCATAACACCATCTTCTTAGTCAGCTTGCCTTGTTTCAAATGGGCAACATCCAAAGATGAGAGAAACAAACAAAACAAAATGGAGAGGTCAAAGGTCAGATTCAGCGACAGAAAAGCACCTTGGAGCTGGAGAGATTCAGGATTTGCCTGAAAAGTTATTTTTCATGAAGAGGGTTCCCAACTAAATCTGTTGACTTGCTAGCACCCAGTGGCAGCCATGATAACAGCTGGAAGGATTCTCTATATGATAAGGAACAGTGCCTCAGTGGTTCCTTCTCCCAAGGATATTACATTAAAAAAAGATACTGGTATCCCAGAGTTCTTTTTTCCAGAAATGTATTATTTAGACATTTCCAGTTCATTTTCCATACAAACTGACAAACTGCTGGAACACATAACGCAAATCATGTATTATGTATATATTATGTACTATTGCATTTTTAATTCACACAAACAACATTTTAAAGTGGGCTGACTGTGTGACAGTGCAAGTGTAAAGGCTCTGCCTCCTGTGATTGGAAAACTACTTTCATCATCGCTGAAGTCAGTTTTCACACACACATCACAATCGTTATGCGGCACCTGTAGGTTGGATTCTCTTATTATTTCTCCCTCACGCCATTTCTTGGCCATAAGCTGGGCCGTAAAGTACTGTACACCCCCTCAGTCCCCTTTGAACAATACAAAATAATACAAATAACTCTGTGTAACATTTATTCAGATTAAACAGGGCACACATTATGACACTGAATGTATTTTAAGAGGCAATGAAAAGAAATGTACAGTATATTGTTTTTTTTGCTGATTGTGTTGTATAATGATGAACGCATTTCCTTGATTCCCTCTGTCTCTTAGGCCTTTTAATAATCCTACTGTCACCGACGCCCGCACTCACGGACTGTTATTCTATCATAAAATAATTTAGGAAAAGTTTGAACACTTACGCCTATCTCTCAGCCACCTGGTGAGGATTTAAAAATCAAGTTTTCTCGGAATGTTATTTATGAGGTTTTGGAGATTTTGGTTCTTGTGATTTAACACTGATGAAACTTTGGAGGGCTTTTTGTCCTCTGTTCGTGAACCATCAAGACAAACGTTGAGTCACATTTTAATTTGTTTAGCAGCTGCTTGTTTTTTTTATTAGATTTCATATAGATTTTGTTTAATCATTCTGAATGTGTTTTATCATGATTTTATAAAACACCTGCAGGCTGCTGCAGTGTTTTAATGATATTTCCAAAGGACAAATACTCTAGATAGAAGTTTGGATTATTTAAGCAGTTGCTGGTGTTTCAACGCTCTGATTGATCAGAGGACCAACTACAATCCTAATATTGTACAAAAAAAATTGTAATTTGGTCAGTGCAATCTAAAGACCACCACGATTAAAAGTTGTGCTCTTTGTGACTATGTGTCAAATTTCGACGTATCGCCATGAAACAGGAAGTTGTCATGACTTCAGTGTACTTTGTCCAATTTTTACCAAACTTTACACATATACGTCTATGCGCCAATATTCAGTCATAGTCAAAGCACCACCTACTGGAAACAAGAAGAAAGGCTTGTGTGGCTATCATCATCTGAATCACAAGTTATTTTCACAGTGTGGTCTACACATGATGCTGGCGCATGAAGCAACCGCAGCACACCCTGACACGCGAGGACTGCGAGGCCCCGATCATCGCTGCTTGCAGCTTTAATTCATTTATGTATTTATGTATCATTGAATAACACATTTTTGTCCTCCATCTATTGGGAGAAACATGTTCCCAACATGAAGGTGATGTGTGTGTGGAGGGGGCACTCGTGAAATGTGTGGGATGAAATGGGACCTACAAAAAAAAAGGCACTACTGAGATTTAACAGTAATAGCTTGTTTCCACAAGCAGAATGTCTGAGAGGAATACTTGCACCCAGGCCCTCCAGTTATACGACCCTGTCCTTACACACCGCACTAAAACTCTGTCTAACAGCTGCTTGGATTTCAGTCTGTTTGGTCTCTAAGTTGAAGGTGCCATTTTGCAAAAGCTTTTCCTCAAAAACTGCTTCAACTCTCTTTTAATAAGGCAAGTTGCCTGAGGGACAGTCCTATTCACAGCATGGGCCTGAGGGAGAGAAAGTCAATATGTATGACCCCCGGCTTGTGTCAGCTGAAGAGTGAACTGCAGCTTCTCAGCCTTAACGAGGCTCCACTCTGGTCTATTTTATCACTATTAGCCAGCATTGCGCTTCAGCATCTCCCTATTCTTCACTTCCAGAGAGTCACTGTGCGAGTCTAACAGCCCTTCACTGCTGTCTCCTTCAAACACCTCTCCTGAGAGTGTAGTCCTGGTGGAGATAGTATATTAAAAGTAAGAAAAGGCGAGTCCGTCAAGTATAAGCGAAGCAACCCTTGTAAATAGGATTTTATTTTGAAATGATAGATGAACTTTGAGCAACTTGGCATGGATTTTTCTTTGACTTTTTTACACTCTGTGCCTTCCAACAAACTTAGAACAGCATTGCTTACCGGCTGTGGCCTAATAAAGCAGAACTAAGTGAATCATTAATAAAAGATACAGGTATCTCCACCTCCAGGATGAGGCCTCCAGAGAGCCAAAGTGCTTCCCAGGAATATTAATCATCCCGGGCGTCGGCCCCGGTTCTGCCCCACCATGAACCCTGCAATTATCAATCTCCCACCGCATGCTAACGGAGCGCTAAATGAAAACAAAGGAGAGGTGCTCAGGAACAAAAAGCTATCCATGTTGCTGTCTGATAATCGATAAGAGGAGCAGTGAGTGGTGTGTGTGTGTGTGTGTGTGTGTGTGTGAGAAGCTCCTTCAGCCTTGAACAGCCTGAGCTTCACTCCTCTGATTGCTGGTAGGCATCCTGGGAGAGAGGGGAAGAAGAGTGAGGAGGGAGAAGACGGACGCTGACTGTGCTGCCTCTCAGCATTTGTTCAAAACTGACAACTTCACTGAAAATTGGACAAAAGCAAACTCCTGGGGTTTTGTGCTTGTGTTTGTTGCAGGATTGGGGGGTTGTTGCTCGCAGTAAAAGAGCATCAAGCTGTCAACTCTGACGAGAACCGGGAAAAAGAAAAGTTCCTCTTTTGACAACAACAGAGAGAAATTGAGAAAAGGAGGAAAAGCTGGTGCTAATTTGTTTAAAACACATAGGCTTTGATACTTGGATTACTGTGAACCACAAATCTCCGCTTTGTTAATTATGTTTGTGTCTTTGCATCTTCACTTTGTTTCCACATCCTAATGAGGTTCCTGAACACACACAATCCTGTATCTCTAAAATCCTCCTGTTGTTCCTATGATCTTTAACATAACAATGAAAGCATGGTGCGTTGATTTCTTTTAGTCAGAGATAAGCACTATCAAATCCTGGTTTAAGCGTCATGGATGCAAGAGGACGCTTGGCATTAACAGCTAATCCACATAATCTGTTATGTTTCAGTGAAGTAATTAGGGTATCCAATCACCAAAGTTTACTCTGTGTGATTAGGGATTTACTGCATTTTGTCACATATCCTCTTGATGTAACCAACACAACTTTAAATATGTGTGGGTTTCACCGTTTTACAGCCAGCATCTGCTTTCTGTCTCCAGATTCTCTGTCTAATCACAGAGGAGCCACACGTTTCCTTCTGTTTTACCTGTTCCTTCACACACTGTATAATCCCTCACAACAATAACCCAAATTGTCAAGTAATGGCTGCACAATTAAATTCCTGGATAAAATAATTCCACTAGGCCGTGAAATATAAACAAGGCAGCAACTTTGTGTTCTCACTACAGATTCCATCAGTTTAAGCCAAAACGAACCATCCACAGTCACTGAGTCCCTTTCAGTCAGGATGAGATAAACACCTAAACTTTAATCTGCTTATTATTTTGAGGGTTCACTGATCACCCCTCTTGTTCACAGAAAATGAACGCCCTCAACTCTGAAAGGATTAAAGCAGAAGAAATGCCGTCTTTGTTTAGTGATATTTGTGTGATCAAGTACTGCAGAAGACGAGTATTGTTTATATTTATGCACTTTTTGAAGGTCAAACTTAATTTACTTTATTTAAGATAGTATGTTAAACAGTTCAACAAGTTCAGAAATGTCCCCTAAAGTAGAGGGCTGCATTGGGAAATGCAAAAAAACATTCTGTTCCCAGGATTTATCTTGTGCCCATCAGAAGGATAGAGTCAACAAATGAAGTTGAGAGATTGGACCTGGTTTTTACAAAACAACAGCAAAGCCAGGCAAGTCTGATTTTGGAGACATTTCTCAGTCTCAGCAGACACAAAATGTTTATTGTGTGGGGGTGAATGGTCAGAATGCTCGCAAGAGTGGAACACACACACAGCAGAAGTGGACAGTAATGGTCAGAAATCCACCGGGAAAGGAAACAGTCCCGACCAACGCTCTACCCTATAGGCCCTTACCTCACCCAAAACGATGTCAAAGAACTAACAGTGTCAAAAGGCGACTGTTGCATCGTCTCACATCGTCCAAAAAGTGACACTAGAACACGCCGCGCCGACTACAGCGAACAGCCAACTAAGACGTACGTTCTGCACCTATCCAAGAGGTATATAATCTCCATACCAATAGGTGGCGGTAGTCTGCATTTGTCATTCAAAAAAGAACATAGGAAGACCTAAGACTGAGGGTATAAAGAAAAGCAGCCTTATGGATGTAGGTTTGTCTGCTCTCACTCAGACAGTTTTGCAAACAGCTGCCATGTCATTTTTAAAATATCTGTGTATTTGAACGATCAGATGAGATGAGGTTGTAAAATGAGACAATCCTTTAGTAGTAGTAAGTGTCTGTATCTTTTATGCTATTAAGAACAACACAATGGGGCATATATTGATCTGATTTGCATGCAAACTTTCTGCTGCTGATCTTTGAACTTTGGCTGAAGAGAAGACACTTTTGGACCTGCAGGCATATTCATACCACAAGAGGAAGGCTGCGTATATTAGTTAAATCACCTTATGTTGTCAGTTCGACAAAAAAAATCAGTGATTGAATGAGTCATGAAAAATCAATGTGACAACAGGCTTAATAAAATACTGGCTGCTTTAATCATATCGCACGGAGCGGCGAGTCAGAGCGGCTGTGAGCTATTAAAAGTCAGGAAAAATACATATTCATGCTGGATGCCACTGAGAGAAACAGAAAGGTATAATGGCTTGAAGACAAATGGCTGCTCCCCTTGCTAAACTTGGTGGAGAGCAACTGTAAGATAACTTCATTAAGTTAATTCATTGCAACATTCTTTATGTGTGTTTCTGATGTCTTTTCATTGTCTAAGTCTGAGTTTTTATTCTCTCCTCCCATATTTTGCACCTCCAAAACAGAGAACCCCTAAAATACATATTACATGAGCCAAAATCCAAAATTTCCAGGGCAATTTGACTGTTCGGCAGCTAAAAGTGGCGGCAATTAGCAAACACAAGTTTGTATTAAACCAACTGAAACACCAACATTACTACAATTTATCCTGTGGAAACACTGACAGTATATATAATGGACAGTGCTTCCTGGTCTGTGAAGTGAAGCCAACCAGAAAGGGGCAGCTCCATTGGCTGCAATAAAACACAGATACGCTGCAGTCTTATAGAGAAATGAACCGACTTCTCACTTGAATTATTAGCTTATTAAACTGTTTTTCTAATGATTTTATGGTCTCAATCAATAGTTTCAAGTCTTCTTCCATACAGAATGATGTTCATTTATTAAATTATGGTTCCATTACTTTAGGGCGTGGCTACCTTGT